TTACTCATATAGTATATTTTTTTTTATCATTTAAGTTTAAGTTCCTTAGAGTTATTTGGAAATAAGGTAAGCTTCTAGATCCATTTCCAGCTATGATTACTCCCAAACACATGTTGGTCATATTTTGAATAAATATAGTTGATCATGCTATATTTATACCTAATATGACTACATAACTGTTCGGGTTTAATCATAGTGTTCAATTTCCTCCAAAGACTTTTAGTGTTATTGTTTTAATGTATACCTAGGTATGTATTTATTCAAAGTGTTTTAGTCCCATTGTATTTATAGTTTCATATCAAGTATGATTAGATATGCCAGTTCACTATAAACAATGCTCTGATACCAATCTATCACACCCCGAACCAGACGACGAAAACGTCTGGGGGCTTGCGCGTGACTTCATCTTGTAATATCATCACAATGTATATAATTGAAACAAGACAACACCATCATCATACATATCAAAATACAACCAACATTGTTTACATCAAGTATAATATCATGAGTTACATGCACAAAAAGAAAGTTCAATGTATGATGATAACAAAAATACAATAAATTCCACATTCTCTGCTGACCTTCCGCTTAACGATTCCCTAAGAATACAAGTTATTTTGAAAACGTCAATATATATAATGTTGGTGAGTTTATAACATGTTTGAATAAAAGTTTTTTTTTCTTGTTTGCAAGGTTAGTAAAACACCAGAAAATTCGATATTTTCTGAAAAACTGTTTGAATGTGATGTGACAAAATCAGGTATTAATGCATGTGTGTTTTCCGTCATTGGAAATGTATATGAAATGCAACCCAGAAAATCTCGTATGTTCTGTTGTAAAATAAAAGTAATGTATAAATGTATTCTTCCCAGAAAATCCGATATTTTCTACTTTTAAGAGTATTATAGTCGTGAATTTCCAAAAAAAAAAACTGAGTGTCGATGAATGTATGTTTTTAATTTCGTCAAGATTTGTATTAGTATACCGAAATCTTTGATGGAGTTAGTCTCTAAGTGAGCCATTACAACCATGTTTGATAATGACTAGTTCGCCTGTCTTGACGTTTTCAGGCGCCGGTTTGATTAAGGTAAGGTTTGTCGTCCTAGACTGGCCTAGTCTAGCTGTAGCGAACAACTAAGGCGTGGGGGGTGTCACCCCCGTATAGATCTATACACAAACTTCCGCTCTCCCTCCAGGAGACTGGTTATAACTATAGGCTACGATCATACACTCAAAGGTGTCAACCGATAAGTCTCACTAGATCCTTAACTTGTTTACGAGTCCTATATCATACCATGTATAAGGTTTATGTATATGTTTTAAGTTTTTAAATCAAAGTATGTAAGTGATTGTATGATGTCCAATAGATATGTACGGGACATTTAAGGCCCACTAAACATATGATTTTTTATCCAGACCCAATTAGCACGTGGATGGACCACGAAGGCCCAATAAACATGTAAAAGGGTAATTTAGGCCCAATAGATATGTAAATGAACCATTAAGGCCCAATAACATGTGATCCATGGCTTAGGCCCAAATTAACATGTAAATTGACCACAAAGGCCCATTTAATCATGACATGGAAAATGTAGGCCCAATATACACTTAAATGGATCCCTAAGGTCCATTAGTCATGTAACGAGAGTATTAGGCCCAATAACATGTTATCAATGTATTTCGTCCATTTGTTATTATTTCGTTGTATGTTTTTGTTCCAGGTTTACCAAGACAACAAAAATATCTAATTTTTGTAATAGAGTCATTTTTGGCCCATAAGACTAATGTATACAATTTTAGTTACCTTTTTGGAAAATTTGACAATCTAAATCCCTTAAGGCTAAAAGTTTTCATTTTAAGGGCTTACTTCTAATATAATGACATTTGTAGCCCATTTTGGCTAAAAACTTCATTTCGACCCAAAAATCATAAATATTAACATTTTTGGCCCAAATACATATAAATTGACATTTTTGGCCCAAATAATCAAATATTGTTGTTTTTGGCCCATTTCTATAATAAATTGCATTTTTAGTCCATTTTTTTTTAAAGAATAACATTTTCGGCCCACATTTTGTAATAATAGCCTTTTAGGCCCGATTTCAAATAAAATGCCATTTCCAGCCTATAAATCCGTAGATTTATATTTTCAGCCCATTTTTGTATAAAATCATAATTTGACCCATAAAAATCAAGATATTTACATTTTAGGCCCAAGAAACCGTAATGGCCCAAATCAAGGCTCATTATGCAAAAATTTACACTTTTGGCCCCTTGAAAATTTTGATTATCCTAAAGACCCATTTTGAAATAACATGACTCTTTTAGTCCTTCTAAAAACTGAAAATAAACTAAAAACCCCAACTTTTTGTTTAAAAATGGCCCCTTTTTCAAGATTTGTTTAGTTTCTTAAGGATTTTCACATGTATATCACATTCATCTTTATACTAAGTTGTATGAAGTGTTTTAGTTTACAAATAACACTACTTTTGGTTAGAGAATTTCGAGATCTATGGAGTTTTAACACATAATCACATCTTATATCAAGAAATACACACAAAACATGCATAACACTTAGATCTATCACATAGTAACTTGTATTCTCCCCCAAAAATCATATAAAACCAAAAATAAGGGGGTATGAACTCACTTGAGGTTTGGATTCAGTTTTGATGAAGAATGGAGTGAAGATCTCGGCCCTAGCAAGCTCTTTGAAGGATTTCCGAACTCTATGAAGCAAAGATGTATAAATCATGAAATGTTATGGTTTAAAAAGAGATTTGTGAAGAAATCAAGAAGCTAAACCATAGATCCAAGTGGTGATCTTGGTGAAAAACCTCTTGAGAATACCCACAAATCTCGAAAAATCTATAGGAAGAAGGAGGAGTTTCTTGAGAGTGTATTGGAAGTGTTTGAATGAGAAATGGAGGTGGTTTTGGCCGAGGTTAATAAGAGAAGATATATATATATATATATATATATATATATATATATATATATATATATATATAGAGAGAGAGAGAGAGATGGTGAGGTGATGTTTGCATGGAAGACCACCATGCAAACATGAGGTGTCTAATGCACAAATTTCCTCATTTTTCCTTTTTTTGTCTAATAAGCATAGTAGGCCGAAAATTGGGCTTAAGAGAGATGAGGATGAAGTGATTTGGCCCATTTTTGGTCTTGTTCGAATTTATGATGCCTAAAAATTATTTTTCGGCCCATTGGGCCCTTAGGAGAGTTCACGGCCGAATGAAGCCCAATTAAGAGGGTTTACGGCCCATTGGGAATAAAATGAACCATTTTAGGCCCACATGGCCCAAAATGTTAAGTTTTATGAATGTGGGTCCAATTAGAACATAGGTTTCTAGGCCCAAAGTAGTCAAGTTGAATGTTTATTGGTCCATTAGGCCCAATAAGAGGATCCTAGTCCTTAGTGAACTTGAACCAGGATTTCTAGGGTTTTCAACCCATAGTTGAACATATGAGGTGTTTTGTATAGAGTTTTGATCTTCACTTGCGAGCCTTGATTCAGTTTGTTGTCATTGAATAACGATAGTGCATAGTATCAAATTAGAGTTACAGGTATCACAATAAATGATGTTTACAAGAGTACAAAATTTCCTAGCAAAAAGGCTAGTTGTAACACACACACACACTCTCTCTCTCTCTTTATCTCTCTCTCTCTCTCTCTCTCAAATGAAGATCTTGGGATGAACCCTACGAAGATATGGGTTCAGATTCATCATACAAACACATCTCTTTGCAATACCCTAATAATACAAAATTAAAAACCAATAAAGCAAAGAATGCATAATTTTGGGTTTGTTCTTCACAATACACACAATCAAGAACACAAAATTTGAATCACATATTTGATTTTATGGGTTTTCGCTTCAACACACACACACACAATTCTGAATCTTAAAACCGATTACATCTTGTCTGGAAAAAAAATCGATTTTTTGGGTTTGTTCCTAAAGGGTTTTCAAGAATATCGTTTTTCTAGGTTTGTTTCTGGAAATAAAATCAAATTTTGAATGTGAAAAAAACTTATAGACTTTCAAGAACGATCGATTTCTAATATTCACAAGATGGAAGAGACGAACTCAAACAGACATGCAACTATAGCGATGGCAATAGTGACGGCAATTATGTGTTTGTTATGCTCCTTTTATGTCTCCGACATTTAAGATCTCAACCAAGTGGCATCACTTTCTGTTGCCGATGATTGATTAAACTTAGACATCTTCACCAGCACCGGAATTTGGGATTCCTTCAAGGGTTTTCCGAAGCTCCATATGTTCTTGTCAGAGAGAGAGGGAGGGAGGGAGGGAGGGAGGGAGAGGGAGAGGGAGAGGGAGAGGGAGAGAGAGAGAGAGAGAGAGAGAGAGAGAGACCCCTTACATATTAATTTTTTTTTTAATTAAGAGAAAACCTCATAAATTGTCCCTTAGTAGTGAAATTACGATAATACCCTTGACTTAACAGCAAATACTAACAAACAACTACTAACAGAATGAGTCATAAGAACTAAACATTAAAGGTTTTGAAACCATAGGGACAATTCATGCAGTTTTTTAAAGTTAGGAACGAAACTTCAAATTTTGTGAAACCAAAAGGACCATTTATAAAGTTTTGTCTTTAATTTATGATTTATATTAATACCTTAAAACATCATATCAATAATAATATATTTTAAAACTCCCCAGTAATTAATTATAATTTATAGTATTACAATATAAATATACAACCTCAAATACCAATTAAATTACCAAAAATGTTTTTTATAAATGTTACCCCAATAACAATAAAAAAAAACATTTTTTACATAGAAGTTCGAAAACCATTATCTAAAAATCAGCATACTTATCGTATTCACAAAAATTTACAATTTAACAAATTACACACACAAAAATTAATAAATTATATTCCACCCTAAATTCTTTTTTACCCATTTTACTTATTAGAGATAAAAAAAAAACAAAAACAAAACAAAACCCATATATAGAGATCTATTCGATTAAACTATAAACGAATTACAATTCATTTGAAACAAACAAATTTCTAATTTGAATCAAGATTCTTGTATCTCATATAAATTTTCTTTAAAAAAAAAATACAAATCTTGACAATTTAGTCTAGCGCTGATAAACATACCTATTAGGTGAATTATTATAATTGTATTGTTGTTGATACCCTTTGTATCCATATCCCCCCGATGAGTTATTATTATTATTATTGTTATAATACTGTTGTTGATCATCAGATTCATTAGGGACAAATCCATGAGATAGTAAAGAATCTTGCAAACGCCATCCTTCTGGTTCCTTTAAGAACTCCTTTGATTGGATGTAATTTTCTAAACTTATCACAACTTTTGTCACTTTTGGATCTTCTCTTTCCTTCAACGCTTTTAAAAAGTCTTGTGATATTATGTTTAATAGCTTCTTGAACTGGTTTTTATACCTTTTGTACATACCAAACCCCGCCAACTGAAAAAGTAAACAATTAGATAATCAGTTTGGTTGAAACGGAATGGAATCATAGAGGAAGGAATGGAATAGCTTATTCCATTCCATGATGAAACTAAACTAACCTCAATGAATGCTTGTAGAGCAACTCCAGTGTATATATTTGCAGGGAGTGCATTTAAAAATCTAGCAAGCCATTTCCAGCCCTCTTCAATTCCATGCAAATTTCGGAAACCATCAACTTCAGTCTGAAATTATTTTAAAAAAAAAAAGGTTTATTTTTTATTTTACTTTTTATCTTTTTGGTAATCAATAAAATAAAAGAAAAGAAAAGAAAGTTTATATTGATTGTTGGAAACCTGAATTAAAGCTGCGTATAGTTTCATATGTTGGGTTAACCTTCCTACATAAGTATCTGTGCTTTCAAGTTTTCCATCTTCTTCTTCTTCATAACCAATGGCTTTGTAGTATGCTTCTCTAGATTCGAAAGCTCCCTGAAAAAAATAAATAATTTAAATGGCAATCTTGTAATAAGAGTTTAACAAAAAGGATAAAGATGGAAACTGACCTCTGAGTAACTCAAATACTTTGGAACTGTGAAGATGCAAACTTTGTTTAATTTGGCAAGTAGTATTTCCATGGCATGTGGAATCTAGATTCATGAAAACCCAAATACATTTAATATTTTATTATTTTTAATCAACTATAAGAGAAAAAATATATATATTTTACCTTTGAAGTAACCATAACAATGACATGTCCATAACCATATAGGACACTGTTGCTGCTTGCGTTTGTGCTTTGGGAGACAATCTGTTATTTTTCTCAAATAGTTTGAAAAATTATTTATCCATAATATGATATTTTATTTATATAGAACTTAATGGGAAAAAAAAAAATTACTTTATCTGCAAAGATCCCAATGTTGATGGATTGAGGAAAGGTTGAATTCATTAGTTTCACCAATTCATCTGCTTTTGTTCTGTCTCAACAGAATTATAACTTTTATAAAAAATTTGAAAAAAAAAAAAAAAAAAATTATCATTCATAGAAAAATAAATCCACACCTCACATTCTCTTTTGTCCCAGTTATGGTTTTGATGCGTCTAGCCATTTGCATACCATGACTTCGGTATTCCTTCATATAATTAAAAAAAAAATGTTAATGTACAAAAGTATATAAAAATACCCAAAAGGAAAAAAAAAAAACAAAAATATGAATAAAAGAAACCTTATTAGAATCCATTTCTGATACCAAATCTTTTCCAATTACTTGTTTGTACATTTGTACCCTTTTTTCCTCCATTTTTAAACCACTCTCAGCACCCTTGACTACATTTCCTGCAATAAACTCAATAAAGTAAACAAGATTCTTTAACGTAATTAAAATAATCAACCTAAAAGAAATATATTTATATTTATTTACCAGAAGATGGTTTATTAAGTTCATTGGAAGCAGTCAAAGCCTCAGCAGCCTTTCTTTGACTTTCTGCCATTGACAACATAGCTGCTTCTTTTGCAGCTCTTTTTTCATCTTCCAATGCTTTGGCTTTGGCTTTCATTTCTTCTTCTCTCTTCTTTTCAGCTTGTCTTTTGGCCTTCACACACAACACAAAAGAAATTAGAAAAAATAAAAAAAAAACAACATTTATTGAGATGGATATTATATTATATAATTTTATTTACAAAACCTCTTCTGATTTCATTTTTTCTTGTCGAACTTTTTCTTCTTGAAGAGCTTTCTGCTTTCTTTTGGACTCTTCAATTGCAGCATCATCGCGTATCTTTTTCTCTTCTATTTGAGATTTGTATTCATGGTGTCTTTGAACATCAGTCAGATGATTATCAAGTGCTTCTGCACTAAAAAAAAATTAAAATATACATATCAATACATTAAAAAAAAAATCAAAATTTTTAAACTTTTAAAAGGTATTTAAGATCTTACATTATGCGTTGATATTGCAAATCACGTTTTCTATCCAATTCCCTTCGTGCTTCTTTGCTCTTTTCAGCTCGAGAAATTGCATTGGTGAGTTTTTCTTTTTCATTTGTAAAATCAGTTCCAAATGCAGATATTCGGCTTCTTATTTCTTCCTGATTATTGAAGATTATAAAAGAAGAAATTTGTTATTGAATGTATGTAGCAATGTTGTGAAAAAACAAAAGAGAAAGAGTATGTAATGTGTTTGGTTGGATGGAAATACGGAATGGAATAGAACAATGGAATGGACTATTCCATTCCGTTCATGATTCCATCATTATACTAAACACTGCATAAAGAATTAAAAGGATAAGGAGTAATAAAAACATACAGCAACACTAAGCTGGTGTTCATGGCTTAGTTCAATCAATGCACCTTCAATAAGTCCTCCTTTGTCCATTAAAGAACATTGGGCTTCAGTTGATGAGTCACTATCTGAATCCACATCATCACTAAACAAACATTTCCACATATGCTAGTAAATACAAATATTTATAAGTACAATACTGTAGTAGTAAGAGGTTTTGTAAAACAAAAAAAGATACCTTAAATAAATTTCATCACAAGCAAAACGACCACTATTAACCACATCATCATCATCATCATCTGATACATGCATCACAAAGGGCTTCGTGTTTTTTTCAGCATGGATTACAACTGAAAGATCACTGCAAGAAGAAACTCCTTAGTTTCACAATAATAAAGAAAAAGCATTTATAAGAAGTTATAAATGACTTCATAAGATGATATAACAAAGTACCTTGAATGTGTTTTGGAGAAAGGTAAAGGGACCAATGAGGATGCTTGAAGTTTGTGATCAACAGCATTAAGCTCTGAAAGAAGTTCATCAAAACTCCAGTCAATTTGTGGATCAGCTATGATCCCATGAACACGTTGGGGACACCGAAGTTCCAATTTTACCCCTCTCCTAATTGGTTAAAAACAAAGAAAGCCTGGTTAAACAATCTATCAAACTGATTGTTTTCGTCTTTTATGTATAATGTACAGGAGGATTGGATAAATATAAAGCAGGACTTACATGATATGGAGTGAAGCAATCTATCAAACTGATTGCTTCCTCTTTGATGTAATAGAAGTTATATGTATCTGGACAACAATGGTAGAAGTGAGAGTTAGAATCACATCTATACGAAAAAGAACACAAAGCATTATATAGAAATCACAACACCATGGTTGTTAAACCGAACTACGCATATGGAGAAGCAGAAGGCCTAATGTTTGATAAACCGAACTGAAAGATTTGAGCTATGTAGGCGTACGTACCCTATGAAAAGAGCAAAAGAAACGTGGAGATGAATACTCGTCTTTGAAGGTGTTAGGGTTTCGGAAGTCGGAACCCTGAAAATGCAAATTGTAAGAAGTTAAAGCCGTGGAGATCTTCAACAAGACTGCAAGACGTGCCTGAGATAATTGATAACTTAGGTTTCCCCTGATTCTAGTTGTGGAGAAATAAGACGGTGGCGCCGGTGGCAGCTGGGAAGGTGGAGGGCGGCGCCGGTGCCAGGGAAGGGATGAAGAGGGTGGGGATGTCGCTGGAACGAGGGGAAAAAGGGCAATGGGCGTCAAATTTTTCGCTCAGCGATGTATTAAAATGGAACCGTTCCTATGTAAAACAAGCGGCACTCCAAATCTGAGTATGGGTATGTGAATATGGGTCTGGGTAACTCACTATTTGATATATATATTTTAAAGTTTTTGATTTCGTCATTGACTGTTATGAAATAAATCCTTAAATTGATAGGTATTTTACTATCTGTATCGAATTATACTCCAAATCTGCTCAATATGGTTTGCAAAAAGCTATGCTTTGTGTGAAGAGCATCCCTGATTAGCTTTCATCCACCATTATCTCCATAAAACACAGCAGACACAATCACCTCCCCTGCTATTTACCTGCACAACACCACCCAAAAACACCACCGAGTACCACCCTTCTACATTCATCAGCCACCACCGAAAACCACCCTTACACCTCCGTTAACCACGCCAAACCACCAATAATCACCAATTCTGCCGAAAAAATAAAGAAAAAGGAGGATCGAACCTGGTGGATTTTGGGGTTGTGATCGTTTGAAGTGAGAGAACGCAATTGGCTCCTGTCGAAGAAGAAAAAAAAAAGGAAGAACGAAGACGCAGGGAGGGCACGCACGCAGACTCGTTAAGAGGGATGTTGGGCTAACTTCATCTTTTTGTGGGCTAATTTCTGTTATTTGGGCTACACATCAACTACAGGCAACAAGAAAGGGGAGTTTTTTCTAGCTTAATTTTTTTTTTTTTTTTTTATCAAATATGCTGGGTTTTAATTTAATCTGAGGATGCTGATGATAAACATATTTGTTGCTATTGTTTTGATTTCAAGTTATATAGAATAACTAGGAAAGAAGCTTCCCCTGAAACAATTTTTTTCTTATCGGGACATTGTATTTTGGAAAGTCCAATTATAACATTCAACTTTTAATGTACCAAAACCCAGAGCATATCAGTTTCATCATAAGAAGTTAGAATTCTCATGTTTGATGTTATTTCTTTAGAAGGAGAACCAACGCCTTTCCAAAGATTCAAAATCCAGTCATATACAGTGATTCTGTAAAAAGCAAGTATGGATTGCACTTATGTAATTACACCACACCTCTAAGGACGGGGAAAAACGGCATCAACCTTTATACAGATTAGTTCCAATTCGGTTAGACTTTCTACACATGCTCCAATTACATCACATAAGATATTAATTTCAAGAAATCACATAAAAATGAATAAAAATCACATACTAAATGTATTAATTTGAAATTCTCTAGAACTGTTTTGGTCCATTTTCAATTTTCTTTTACTTAAAACTGATTCACAAAGGTTGGGAAAGAAAATAAGGAGTTAGAGCTCGGAATTGCTATTTTATGCATATGTTTAACGGTTTGTTGTGATTCTCATATCTATTAAGTACTAGTTTATAACCCGTGAGAATGATGGTTATAAAATTAATTAAACTTTCATATTAAAAAATCAAAATTATTAATCAATTATTTTAAATAAATTATTACTTAAAAGATATTCTTTTAGTTATATAAAATTATAATCATTGATTTAAATACACACGTGAAGTTATATCACATTATAATCTATATTAATTTTATTTTATTTTTTAATCTAATGTAATTAATTTAATATAAAATCATCTCCAATGGGAGTTTAATTTAAGGTTTAATGGGGAGTTTAATCTCATTAAACTCAAAATCCCTATTGTGGGAAAATGATTATGATTCAATGGAATGGAGTGTTCAATCCCGATTGAACTCTATATTATCTCTCCTTACACACATGTATATATATATATATATATATATATATATATATATATATATATAAATTATTTTTTATTTTAAATTTTTAATTGATGTTAATTTTAATTGTAGTTTTTAATTTTTAATTTCATGCTAATTATTTTTTTTAAATCACAATAAATAAAAAAGAAAATGATAAATGATGTGACAATCCATTAAATTGTATAGAGTTTAATAGAGTGTAGAGTTTAATGGGTAAAGTTGTATAGTAAGTGGAATGTACATGTGTCAATCCATTGAACTCATATGAGTTCAATGCATTGGAGATGGTCTGATTAGAGTGAAAAAATTTAAAATTTAAAATTTAAAATAGAGAATCAATTATTAATTTAATGTAATTAGAGCGGGAAATTTAAAATTTGAAATTTAAAATTGATAATTAACAGGTTGACAAGTAACATGATAGGTGACATATAATATTAATGAGGAGTTCTGTAACAATGTAAATTTTAAAACAAATTTTTTATTTTTGCGAACATCAAAAACCATCGTTTAATATTCCAAATTCAAACGTGAACAATGTTATCATAACAAAATACATCCCAATGATCATAAAATAGTTTCCCCGACAATGTGTACGATCACGCTGGCGCCTTCCCACGGTCCTCGCTAGTACCTGAAACACATAACACAACAACTGTAAGCATAAATGCTTAGTGAGTTCCCCAAAATACAACTTACACACATACGCCTTTCCAGGCCCAGACCTTCCGGTCCATGTGTCTCAGGGGACTTCCGTCACGACTAGGTAAACCTTCCGGTCCTACCTACGTCAACCTTACGGTTCACATCACAACGCCTTCCGGCCCATAACATATACGCCTTCCGGCCCATAACATAATGCCTTCCGGTCCATATCAAACATATCATACATGGCACATATAAACGATTAACTTATCACATACAATACATATAACTCATAGCATATCCGACCTTCCGGTCACACAATAAAACCCTTCCGGGTACGGTATAGTGAGAAAACTCACCTCGTGGAAAGTCTAAGATCTCACGTACTCGCTATCTCCAAATCCCAACGCCGACTCTACCTCGCCTAATCATAAAAATATCATTTAATAATCAAAGACTTCCACAACTAAAACTTTACCCTTATCATCATTCCTCAGAGGGTAAAAGACCATTTTACCCTTCCTTGACCTAAAGTCCTCATGTTGACCAAAACCCTAAAAGTCAACAAAAGTCAACCCTGTGAGTATGCGGGCGTACTTCTTGGTGTATGCGTGACGTACATTGCCAACCCATGGATCGGGGTCTCTATCCAGTACGTTGCGCGTACTGGAAGTTACGTCCAGCGTAACCATCGGATTTTAACATACTTCATTTATGGTCTTAATCGGTTAAGCCATTACTCCAACTTCTACATCCGACTATGTTAATGTGTCTAAACCCATAGAGTCGAGACCTTTAAGCCTTGGCATGGTTGTAAAGGCTCCAACACTTCTTAACATCATTCTATTCCAACTCAAGGACCTAGATCTCATGCATGGTGCAATATTCATGTCCAAGATGACATTTTTATGAGTCTACAACTCCAATAGATCAGAAATATGAAGGATCTAAGCTTATGGAGGCCATTTGCACAAAAAGTCTCCACCTTTGGGACGAAAACCCTAGAAAATGGTACTTTAAGCATATAACATGAACCAAGTGACAAGATCCGAACTTTTTACCTGATAATGAAGCTTTAACCCTTGCAAAGCTCAGATCTACACTTGAACACCACTTCTAGTTTTTCCAATGAGCTCTTCTTCTCCTTTGCAACCTTGGAGTGGCACCACCAAGCTTAGAATACTCACAGAATGGCTTAAGAACGAATGCACACTCTTTTTAGGGTTTCTCTCTGAGGAATGGTGGCTGAGAAGTCCAGCCACACATTCCTTTTATAGCCCTCTAAAGGAATTAGGGTTTTTAGGTCTGGACTGGTTACGCCCCGCATAACCTTTGGTATGCCCAGCGTACCCGAGAGTGAACGCGTCCAAATGAAGCGCGCGAGTACGTGCAGCGTACTCGCCTAACATGCAAACCCTAAATGACAACATAACAAGGATGAAGGGTTAAATTGAAGGGTACCTGGATTCAGGCTGTAACAATTCTCCCCCACTAGAACCAGACTTTGTCCCCGAAGTCTGATACTGAAAACAACTCCGGATACTGATCCCGCATCTCAGACTCGGACTCCCATTTCAGCTCGGACCCCTTCCGATGTTGCCACTGCACTTGTACCAGGGGTACTTCCTTGTTCCTCAGAACCTTAACCTTCCGATCCCTAATCGCCACTGGTCTCTCCACATAGTTCAGGCCTGCATCCACCTGAATATCATCTAATGGCACCACTACCGACTCGTCGGCAATACATTTCCTCAACTGCAAGACATGAAAGGTATTATGGATCTGTCCCAACTCAGCAGGTAGATCCAACCGGTAGGCTACCCTGCCTACCCTAGCAATTACCCTGAAAGGTCCAATATACCGGGGTCCCAACTTGCCCCTTTTCCTGAATCGTATCACTCCTTTCCAAGGAGAGACCTTTAGGAGCACAAGGTCACCAACCTGAAACTCGAGCTCGGACCGACGTTTGTTCGCATAACTCTTCTGGCAAGTCTACGCGGTCAACAACCTCTACCTGACCTGCTCAACCTGCTCGGTCATCTAGAGTACAATCTCCGTGCTACCCATCACTCGTTGCCCCACCTCTCCCTAGCAGATGGGGGTGTGGCACCTCCTCCCATACAACAGCTCAAAGGGTGGCATACCAATGCTCGAATGATGGCTGTTGCTGTACGAAAAACTCCGCTAAGGGTAAATAGGTGTCCCAACTCCCTCCAAAATCCAAAACACATGCACGGAGCATATCCTCAAGTGTCTGAATCGTCCGCTCGCTCTGTCCATCCATCTGCGGGTAGTATGCGGTACTGAAATGCAGCTTCGTACCCAACTCCTCATGAAAATTCTTCAAAAACCTGGAAGTAAATCGTACATCCCGATCTGAAACAATCGACATTGGAACCCCATGTCGCAATACCACCTCCCTCACATATAATTCCGCCAACTTCTCCGCAGAAGAGCTCTCACTGATGGCTAGAAAATGAGCGCTCTTTGTCAATCTATCCACAATCACCCAAATCGCATCGACCCCTCTCGCAGTCCTCGGCAATTTGGTGATAAAATCCATGGTAATCTGTTCCCACTTCCATTCGGGAATCTCTAGCGGCTGCAATTTACCGTGCGGACGCTGGTGCTCGGCCTTAACCTGACGACAAGTCAGGCACCTCTCGACGAACCATGCAACACCCCTCTTCATACATGGCCATCAATACTCCTTCCTTAGGTCCAAATACATCTTAGTAACCTCGGGATGAATCGAGAATTTCGATCGATGCGCTTCCGCCATCAAAATAGTACGCGTACCGCCCACAAACGGTACCCAAATCCGACCCTGAAAAGTCATAAGTCCCCGTCCATCCGTAATGAATTCCGATACCTGACCGACAACCCGCTCCGTCTTCTAGTTTTCTGGTCTCGCAGCCTCAGCCTGAGCTCCTCGGATGGTGTCCAAAATTGGGGTCATCACCGTCAACCTTATACAAATATCTCAGATCGGGGCGCTTTCCGCCCTACGGCTCAATGCATTGGCCACCACATTAGCCTTGCCCGGGTGGTACAGGATCTCACAATCATAATCCTTCACCACATCCAACCATCTCCACTGCCGCATATTCAGATTTGGCTGATCCATCAAGTACTTCAGACTCTTATGGTCCGTGTAGATGGTACACCGAACCCCATAAAGATAGTACCGCCAGATCTTGAGGGCAAACACCACAGCCCCCAATTCCAGGTCGTGGGTGGGATATCTCGACTCATGAGGTTTCAACTGCCTCGAAGCATATGTTATAATGTGTCCCCTTTGCGTAAGTACCGCCCCTAAACCCGATATAGATTCATCACAGTATACCACAAAATCCTCCATCCCTTCCAGGAGTGCAAGCACCGGGGCCTCGCACAATTTCTGATGAAGGGTCTCGAATGAGGACTGCTGCTCCGGTCCCCATGAAAATGCAACACCCTTCCGATTCATCTTAGTAAGTGGCACGACGATCTTGGAGAAATCCTTGATAAACCTTTGATAATAGCCGGCCAATCCCAAAAAGCTTCTGATCTCAGTGGGCGACCTCGGCACTTCCCATCTCATCACTGCCTCGATCTTGGCCGGATCGACCAATATCCCTTTCTGGTTAACAAGGTGCCCTAGGAACTGGACCTCTCGTAACCAGAAATCACACTTGGAGAATTTGGCATATAGCCTCTCCGATCTCAATACTCCAAGAATTTCTCTCAAATGTTCTTC